TGATACAAGGTAGAATGGCTCTCTGCTGGATGGCCGAGGGTTTCTCGAAGCCGTGGCTGCACTGGGAGCACTGGGATGAACTGGGATGACCTGGGCTGTACTGGTTTATACTGGTTACACCTGTCCAGGTGAGTTTACCTTTGATACAAGGTAGAATGGCTCTCTGCTGGATGGCCGAGGGTTTCTCGAAGCCGTGGCTGCACTGGGAGCACTGGGATGAACTGGGATGACCTGGGCTGTACTGGTTTATACTGGTTACACCTGTCCAGGTGAGTTTACCTTTGATACAAGGTAGAATGGCTCTCTGCTGGATGGCCGAGGGTTTCTCGAAGCCGTGGCTGCACTGGGAGCACTGGGATGAACTGGGATGACCTGGGCTGTACTGGTTTATACTGGTTACACCTGTCCAGGTGAGTTTACCTTTGATACAAGGTAGAATGGCTCTCTGCTGGATGGCCGAGGGTTTCTCGAAGCCGTAGGCGTAGATCCCGCGCAGCAGCGCCTCCGACAGGTTCATCTCGTCAAAGCTGTCCACCACCTCGTGCCAGTTACTCTGCACCAGTACGGACCAGTACGGACCAGTAAGGACCAGTACAAACCGGTACAGACCAGTACAGACCAGTACAGACCAGTACAAACCACCACAGACCAGTACAGACTGGTCCAGACCAGCCCCAGTAAGGACAGAGCCTTGGCCCAGTCAGACCAGTTTGGCTCCAACCCCTCCCAGTCCATCCCAGTTTAACTCCAACCCCTCCCAGTCCATCCCAGTCCCTCCCAGTAAGGCTCAAACCCCTCCCAGTCCCCTCCCAGTTTAACTCCAACCCCTCCCAGTCCATCCCAGTTTGGTTCAGGCCCCTCCCAGTTCAACCCTGACCTCTCCCAGTCCTTCCCAGTTTAACTCCAACCCCTCCCAGTCGCTCCCAGTCCCCTCCCAGTCCCTCCCAGTCAATTCCCAGTCAATTCCCAGTCCATCCCAGTCCCTCCCAGTCGCTCCCAGTTCCTGACCTCGATGACCCCGTCCGGCTCCATCCCCTCAGGGCCGCTCTCGCGGGATCTGCCGATGGGGGGGGGGCGAGAAGAGCCGTCATGACGTCATCGCGGCCGCGCGGTTCCCGCGGTTTTTTATTTATTAATTTCCCTCCCCCCCCTCACCACGTGACCGGAAGCGGCTCCGGCCCCTCCCCCTCCGACCACGCGGCGCCGCCGGAAGCGGCACCGAGCGAGGCCGCGCCCACTTCCGGTTTATTCATCTCTCTCTCTCTCTCTCCCCCCCCCCCCGGCCGGCCCAATCGGCCCTCGC